AGCAGCTATTCAAGTGATCTCTTTAGACCTGTGGCCTACAAAAGCCAGAAATCATTCCCCCCCTCCCTTCCATTCTGTCATTGAAAAGACACCCCTGTTTCTTGAGCTAAAGGAAATGGTAGCCTGTCATCACACGGCAGACCTGTTAAAATCAGAGAGTCTCATGTTTGTCCCACCTAGAACAAAATGGGTCTTAGGGAGGGCTACTGCTTAGATTCTGTCAAGAAGAGTTCAGATAAAGTCTGCTGGTTCTTGCTGGGAGCAGGTGTTGGAGCACACCTGCAATAGTGCCTGCAGCAGAATGATCTGCTTCTAAATGGGCGACTGGAAGGTCCACCTCGCAGCTAATGTGTGCCTAGCACTGTTGTTACAATTCCATTATCTCCATCCCACTCCATTCTAGTCCAGTCCATTCTGTTCCATTCTGTTCTGTCCTGTTTATGGAGTCTGCAGCTGGCATTTCTGTATGATTCACCAGATCTGTACTGCTGACCCATGCTCTAACAAAATGTTAGGGCTTGATTCATTACTGGAATTGCCGCCCATTAGAAGCACAGAAAAATGATGGTTACTAAACCTCATTACCCTTTTACAGTTTAGGGGGCTGGTTTAGGTTGTTAGGATATGTCTTTTTAGAATGCCTTTTATGCTGCACTGCATCTTTCTCATCTTTCTACTCTGATACGAGAAGCACCAGCTATAGGTAGTAACTGAGAGTGGCTAAAGATTGTTTCAAATCGTTTTAAAAGACTCAGATGAAAGATGCTATGGTCAGAAGTGCTAGTGAAGTGATACTAAGTATTTCTGATCCTACCCTTTAACAGGGCAGTTTTCGTTATACCTTAATGTCTTTTTTCCAGTCTTTTTAGTGATTTCAGCTTTTTAGTGATTCTTTCTGCAAAAAGAATTTAAGTGTTGATTTGAGGATTAGGGCCACAATGTAAAGAATGCGTTCACTATACCACTGCTTACTGGAAACTCTAATTTTTAGGCTTTCAGCTGTCCCCTGGACAGGAAAGGGGACTGAACTTCAAAGGGTCTATGGCCACTTCATCCATCTTTTTTTTATTTAAGGGCAGGAAGTATTGCTGCCTTATATTTTTAACTCAGTTAATTTCCTGTCTTCATTAAAAGCTAACTGGATGGTAATACTGGGAAGGTAACAGTGGGTACCTTTATAGGGCTCAAAGCTACTCAGCACAGAGGCTAAGAGAGTTTTTCTGTCTGGGAAGTTAGAGAACATTACTTATGTCATTCAAATGCAGAGAAGGCCATAACCTTCACTTCTGGTGATCTGTGGGTTTGCTCTTAGAGCAGTCTGAGAGGATTCTCTGTGGCTCTGAAATACTACGCTAATGACAGCATAGGCAAGGAGAAGACAGAAGAGAGGTTTTATAAATAGGCCAAAAGCTCCAATCCAAAGCTATGTTATGAAGGACACATGTACTTCTATAAGAGAGATTAAAAAAGCTACAGAAGGATATTGGAATTAAATTGCTTCAGTATATTAGCACTAGACAAGTTGGCTAGATTAGTATCAGAGTCAGTAAAACTCTTCTCTGAACCTGTTAAGATTAGCACAGATTAGTACGGGAATGCATGCGAGTGTAATAAGCTCTTCTTACAGAAACTCCTTCAGAGTATGTTGTACTGTTGGCTTCATATACATTCTTTGATAAAATCAGTATCTACCTGTCATGAAGATGTCAGGCAACTTCCTGCTGGTTTTAACATGGTATAACTTGGCCTGCAGGTCAGGGTAGTCATGGCTTCTCCTGTCTCAGCAGACATGCTGTGTGAGGGGGAGCTTTGACATGATTGCTGGTGGTGCTGGTGGCAGGCAGGGGCTGTGTGTTTCTGTCAGTGACCTTGTCATGGCTCTCAGTTTGGTCACTGATGAAGCCTGTGAGGCAGATACACAGCTGGAGCAGCCTTCTCATTTCTTACTGTTTCACAATGGAAAGAAATGGCATAGGACCGAAGCAGACCCTGATGTCTCTTTTTCTGCTGGAATTGTGTTTTACTTCTTTCTTATGTTCACTGATGTGTCTATGGGGCACTTTTGATCTTTTTTTTCCTGAAGCCCTGGTGAGTTCAATGCAATAGGGACTTTAAACAGTCAGCATTTTCCTTACACCAGATAAGAAATTACATGAAGTACAGAACAAAGCACCTTTTCCTAAAGATACATCTTTAGCACCCCTTTGGGATGACCATGGACCTCACATCCAGGCTTGTTGGTGTATGACCCAGCTGTGCTTGTTTCTAAGCTGCAGGGAGATCTATGCACCTACTCTCCAAACTCTGCAGTCCATCCTCTTTTCCTCTTTCCATCTGTGGAAAGAAAATGGTGGTTTTAGAATAAGGCAAGGGCTTCAGTGTGTTTCTCAGAGTGCCTGCTTGGTGTCCACTCCAGAGCTGGGGCTTGGGATGTGTCAGTACAGCCCAATAGCTAAATAGCAACACAGGTTTTACAATGCATGAAGTACTTTTTGCCCACACTGACAGTCCAGTCATGATCTTTGTGGCCTTGGAGAACACCTAGCACCAATCTGTCTGTGGAGACAGAGAATTCATTTACCTGAACAAATAAGGGAACTGAACACCAAGACCAGATATTTATATCTGAAAGATCAGCCTATTCAGCCAGGAGTCCTCCAGCTGGAAGGTGAACCCACTCTTGGATTTTCCTAAGAGAATCCAAAGACCTGCTCCTGTACTCCTTTACTTGAAATACTTACTGGGTGGAGGCATGCTGATTGGGTGTCCCTTCAGTCACTTGCTTGTCAAACCAAAATGCCTACAGCTACTTGGTGTAGCAATATAACGACAAATCCTCTTTTTCTGAATAAGAAAAGAAAAAAAAAAGAAAATGTCTTTTCATCTCATCCTCTGTCATAAACAAACTACATCTCTATCACTACCCCAGCTTCCAGGCAGGTATTTTTTCTGCAGACTTTGTAAATAAGGGAGTAGATACTTGTACCAGAGTTTACGCCTTTGGTGTCTGACTTGTGGAAGAAGAATCAAAAGGCTGATTCATAATTTATGTCTGAGAGCCCTGGCATTACTCTGAGGAATAACACCATCAAGTCTGATGTGTGATTTATTTCCTGTAATCATGTAATCAGCTGGTCTACTGAGTCCTGCCACGTACAGTGAGAACTTTTGTAAAGGCAGCTAAGCTGGGCTGCAAAAGACTTTATTAAACTGAACATACAGATGGATTTGGAAATGGGAAGATAAACAGAATTTAAAAAGAGAATATAATAAACAAACAAAAAAGAATACTGCAAGAGAAAAAATTGTAAGTGGGAAGAGCACAATGTCTGCACAGTTCTTCATAGATACAGGGATGCTGAAAGAAGTAAAATTGTACTTTTAGATATATGATTTTCAGGGTCTGCAATGGGAAAATCAAAACCTATGCAAAAGATAACTGAAGGTATCTAAGCTAACTAAAGGTAATCCAGGAAAATTAAAACATGTCTCACATTAAAGAACAGAAAGAAAACTGCAGATGGGCATCCTCCATTCATTTCTTTTGGGCACAGCGAGGAACTATGAACTCAGATTTAGTGCACAGCTGAGACACAACAGGGAGTGTTGCTGTTCACTAGTTTGCATTATCAGCTCAGATCTAACAGCTGTACTTGAGCATAATTTGCTGCCTCTAGTTTGTAATATAAATTTTCTTTCCAGTAGTGGGGAGAAGGGACGTGCAAAGTTCATCTGCAGACTATAACTGCATAATGCTAGAGGAGCCGTTTTACTCAAATGAACAAAAATGCTTTTCACAGTGTCCTTTGGTACAGGGACTATTTGTACATAAGAACATTTCATACAATGGCCTAGGTTATTCAGCATCTCTTGAGTGAAAGTAGTAGCAATAATAGAGGAAGCTTCTGTGGAATATAATAGTAAGAAATATGGATCTAGCTGCACTATAATGTTAAACTCTATCTGGATACTGAAAACACAAAAATGGCATAAGATACAGCAATAAACTTTGTGTTTATTGGTGGTGATTCTTTTAAGAAAAGTGTTATAGGTTAAAAATAAGCATTTGAAGTTGTTACATACCAAAAAAAAAAAAAAAAAACAACAAAAAAAACCCAGCCTCCTAATATGTGGAAAGGCAGCGGTTTGGAGAAGCAGGGATATTTTATTTTATGTTAACTTCACATGCTGCCTGGTGTTTGACTGGCTGGTTAGTGGATAACATAAAGGGCTTTTGGCAGTGTCAGGAAGGTGTGTGCTTTGCATTCCTCAGTCTGTGTGCAGAAACAGAGCCCATTAGCTAAAGGAAAGATTCACAGTGATTTTGCCACTTTTTGGGTAAGGCCCAGAATGATTGTTTACTTGACCGCTTGACCCACAGAGAGATTTCAGCCATTCCAGTACTGAGAGCTGAGTTTACCAGCTCTTAGACCCTGTGAAAACTGGGCGAACTCACATCCATATTGGGAAGCCCTGGCTCCTGGCACAGTGTACTGTGTGCTCCTTTCATGTCTGCACTGAAATCTTAGTTCTAGCAAGGAGACTGGAACACAAACCTTTATTTGCTCTTTCTCCTCTCCCCCAGATTACTTGAATTTTATCTTCTGTTTGTGGTGTGACAGTCTTGACTGTATTTTCTCTGAGTTTTGCAACAGTGAGGTTTTGATTCTTGCAAAATGGTAACTGTGAATGTAAGACAAATGCTTATAATAGTAAAAAGCCTCCTACTTCAATAAGTGTTCTCTCACCTGTTTTGGAGTATTATTGCAGTATGAACTTGGTGAATAGTAGAAACATCAGAGAAACCAAAAAAGAGGTGTTTTGAAAGGATCATGCCTGTGCATTTTCCCTTTTTATATATAAAAAGCTTATCATGGATTTCAGGTCAGAACCGCTGTTCAGTTAGAAAGACAAGAGAAGACCACTAGATGGTGGTAAAACCCCAGGCCTTTGCTATAAATCTGTGAAAAGAGAAGTTCTGAGGGGCAAAGAAGGGGAGGAGGAGCCACAGTCTGAGTACTGAAGTCATTATTGCTTGGAGTCTATAAAAAGGCACTTGCACAGTAAGTAATTTATACGTGGTCAGCTTTGACTCTATGGATTTACTCATTTCTTTTCTTCTATTTCTGTCATCTATTCCAACCAAGGAGTCCCCAGCCCCAGATGTTGGGTGAGAAGGGGAGCTGAAACTTCTGCTCTCTGGAGGAAAGGTTGCAGGCGATGAAGAAGAAGAGCAGCTAAAGCAGCAGCTCTGGTAAATAGGTACAGTTAATTCTTTATTGCAAATTAAAAGGTTAATTTTAAAAACTAATTTTTTTTAGCTTAATCTTAAAGTCCTTTCCAACCTTAATTACTGTATGATTCTATGATATGCTTTGAATTTTATTTGCAACAAGTCACTGACAATCAGCTTTAAGTGTTCCGATTAAGAATCTGATAGCTTACGATTTCCCTGGATATTGTCATTACCAAAAAAGCACTAAACAAAATACTCATGATCTGGAATAGAAAACTTATCTTTTATGATAGAATTCCACCCATACCAATTCTGTAACTTTAGTATATTCTGAAATGTATGGATTTGCCTTGGTTAGGTTTTTAATACTATGCTCTTAAGTGAGCATGTTAGTTTTGCACAGATAAGCTGTTTATAACACAGTTCATGTGAATTTAAGAAGTACAAATGTCAGGAAAACATTCAAATCTTTTACTGAAAATGTTCAATTATTAACTGTGGCAATAATTCAAACTTTTATATATTGTATTCAACCAAGCAAGCTATGCCCAACCTAATACTTTATTGTCCTGCATTTCTGGGGTCTGAGAACTGGGACTTAAAAAACTGTTTGTTGCTTGGCATTCAGTTGAATTTCCAGCACATTCTGGAGAATATTCCAAGAGATCACATAGAATAAACAAAACTATGAATGAAGAGTACATGAGTCTCTTCATTAGTTTGTGGTTTTAATTTTCCAGTAAGGATGGTTAGAAAAACTGAGCCAACCAGAGGTTAATGTAGAATCAGTAGAGGAATATGGTGGGAAAGTGGCAGGATGTGTGCAAGCCAAATTGCATAGAAATAGGTGATATTTGTTTTGTCAACTTCTGCCTGTTCTCGTCATGCTATATTTTTTTTAGCAGGGTCTTTTGCCTTTTGGAAAATGCATTTACCACACTCCTTGGCAAGTCCCTCAGAAAGAACAGAACGTGTTTGCTTCCAGAGATGAACACGTCTTCTGAACTGTATGTTTCTGAACTAAACCTGAGTGCCTTTGGTAGCAACTTTACTGTGCCTACTGTCAAGAGCAAGTCATCACCATGTGAACAAGTGGTTATTGCTGCTGAGGTGTTCCTAACTCTGGGCATTGTAAGCCTCCTTGAAAATATCTTAGTTATATGTGCAATAATTAAGAACAAGAACTTGCATTCACCCATGTATTTTTTTGTTTGCAGTTTAGCAGTGGCTGACATGCTGGTTAGTGTGTCTAATGCTTGGGAGACCATAACAATATACTTAATAAACAACAGACACATTATTATAGAAGATGCCTTTGTTCGTCATATAGACAATGTCTTTGATTCAATGATCTGCATATCTGTGGTGGCTTCCATGTGCAGTTTGCTGGCTATAGCAGTAGACAGATACATCACTATCTTCTATGCCCTGCGTTATCACAACATCATGACAGTGAAAAGATCAGGGCTTATTATTGCATGCATCTGGACCTTTTGCACAGGCTGTGGCATTATCTTCATTCTTTATTATGAATCAACTTATGTGATCATTTGTCTCATCACTATGTTTTTTACCATGTTGTTCCTCATGGTCTCACTCTACATCCATATGTTCCTCCTGGCTCGTACTCACGTGAAGAAAATAGCTGCTTTGCCTGGGTACAACTCTGTGCGTCAAAGAACCAGCATGAAAGGAGCCATCACTCTGACTATGCTCCTTGGCATCTTCATTGTTTGTTGGGCTCCATTCTTCCTTCATCTCATCCTGATGATCTCCTGCCCTCAAAACCTCTACTGTGTTTGCTTCATGTCTCACTTCAACATGTACCTCATTCTCATTATGTGCAACTCAGTGATTGATCCTTTGATCTATGCCTTTCGTAGCCAGGAAATGAGGAAGACCTTCAAAGAGATAATTTGTTGTTATAGCCTGAGGATGCTCTGTGGGTTATTGAACAAGTATTAAGAAAACAAAACCAAACCAGGAGAGACAATGAAAATTCAACGTCTTGCCGCATCTTGTAATTCTGCTGAAATGCCTATGGAATATCTCCATAATATCTCCATTCAGCTGTCATGATTTCTGTGGCAATCAGAAACCATTTTTTAATGTGTTTTTTTTTGCCTTTCTTTCCCTCCACTCGCCTCTTTCACACTGGTGGCAGGAGCTACCCAGTGCCCCTGTAATATGGGGAGAAAGAATATTTTGAATCTCATTTACCCTACTGAAGACTGGATCTTTTAAGAGGATTGTGCAGGGAAAGCCTTGTTTTATTTTCTGCTAAATGCAGTGAGTGTGACCTGCTATGCAAATGACCCCATTCACTTCTCAGTGTGTTTCTCTGATGCTCTGTCTTTCTAGATACAACATGGTTTATTTTGATGCCCAGAATTAACAGGTTTTTTTGCTATTTCCTTCTGAAGACTGAAAATCTGAGAAGTAGCTCCAATTATCAGAGTTTACATACCTTGCTCAACAGTTATGACCGATATATATGCACATACCAGCAATCTTGTATTCCAGTCATGATTGTAACTGTCATAAAATATGTATTGTTTAAGAGAACAGTGTTACCATGAGGTTCCTGGTTGATACATTGCTTTGTCATATCTGACTATATGTATTCTTATCACTGTGGGGTGAGATGTACCACAGGTGAATTTTAAGGCTGCATATGAAGGCTGGACAGATTCTAGTTTCTCTGTTTTCTTTATTCACCACAGCTAGGGGAGTAAAGGGTACATGGCCTCTACACAGTCATGTAATGTTTTCTGGAGATGGAAAGATTGGGTGAGTGGCTGCTTTTATACAGACATTAGAAAAGCATTTCAGCTGAGTAGCTTTTCTTATTGGAGGAAGCTGTACTGCAGATTGCATTTTTCAAGCTGGGAGAGACAAAACAAGTTTGATGATCAGAAGGCATAGCAGGCAAAATAGGAATTTCAGAACCTCAGGCACATGTAGCTATAACAGAGTCTTGACTTTTGCTCCTCAAACAAACATTTTTTGCCTTTGTTGATGTGATTCCAATGTGAAATCCTCATGATTTTATGTAATTTGCATGTAGCCATACTCTCATAAACATGCTGTTTTGCAATAGCTGTGTAATGTACAAAATACTTGATTTATCACAGATGAAGGAAGTGCAAATATGGCATTGATTACTTAATGCCACTGTACGGTACATATCTTGCACTGAAATATAAGCTATGAAAATATTTCAAGCAGTGGTTCCCTATTGACTAGATATTAGAAAATTGCTTGGAATGATGTATTATTTCTTCTGAAAAGCTGAAAGAATACCCCTTGTTTTTCAACCCTTGGTTTAGGGATGCTCTAAAACTGTTGTTAATAGAAGGACTATGACTGATTCAGTGAGGCTCAGGCTATACCTTCAAGGTAGAAGTTCCGATCAGGCATTAGGAAAATTTTTTACCATAAGAGTGGTCAAATGTGGGTACAGGTGCCCAGTGGTTGTGCAGTCTCCATCCTCAGAGATATTCAGAACTTGACTGAATACAGTCCTGAGCAATCTGTTCCAAGTTAAAAGCTGACTCTGACTTTGAAGTTGGCCCTGTTTTGAACAATAGATAACGCACAGGTCCTTTCCAACCCAAGCTTTTCTGTAATTCTAAGAAACAGTTTGTATATTATAATTATCATTTTCATCCCACCTAATATTATCTCTTTTGTAAGAAGAATTGCAAGATCTTCTCCTCCACACATTTAGGAAGATAACATACTTTATGTCTTCATTTGCTTTAGAGGTTTCTGGCAGTATAAGTAAGGTGCATATTTAGCGGTAGAGTTGTATCTTTTGTCTGCTGCACCTTAAAGTATATACCACCTCCAGCTCACACATATCTCCTTCAGACATGAGTAGAAATGTTGTTCTCAGTGGAGACACCATATTATGTTGAGTGTAAATATAAAGGTTATATCAGTACACTAAGAGCTGGAATCTTCCTTCAGCTATGCCTAAAAATTGGATTTTAGGTATGTGTGTGGTCAGTAGTGAGAATCTTGCCCTGTTTCAGTACACTTCCTAACCCTATCCATATATAGCACCCAAGAGTGGGCTTTTCCTACTATGAATGTCAATAGCAAAAGGAGATGGTTCAATTGTGTAGTGAAAGGCAGCAGCTGATGTAAATAAATCATGAAATCTTCACTGGGTATTGCAAATAAGATGGTCTTGTACATAATTGTAAATCAACAAAAAGGAAGCCAAAACTGTAATAGCTTCGGGTATTTTCTTGAATTGTACATTACCTTTTTTTTTTGTTGGAAGTTTATTTGACTAATAAACACAGACATATGAAGAAACTATTAAACTGGATTGCTGGAAAACCCAATGTTATTTGTTCTTCACTGTAATGTGTCAGCTAGCCTTATATTCAGAGGGAATATTGCATTACAGGCTTTCCCTTCTCAGTTTAAACAGATGTCTTATAAAGAATCACAGTCTGAGGGTTACAGACTAATACAATGTATTTACATTCATACTTATGTTCCTGTAGGTGTCAGCATCACATCCTTATTATAATCTTTACAGGTGGGGAGATAAAACTTTAAGGGAGAAATTATTTTCAAGAACTGACTAAAATGGCTCCTGCAAAAAAAAAATAAAAGTAAAATTTACACTATAAGAATGCATATAAAACACACACCTCTGTGAGGCCATGGCATATTTAAATTTATTTATTTCTCCTCTTTAGCTGCAGAATAAAAGGAACATTTAACTTCTACCAGAGTTTGGAAAACACTAGGTGTTCTGATAGACTGGGACAAGCAAGCATTGTGTAAGTATGGAATTTGCTGTAAAAAAACAGTATGAAACAATTAGTTGCTAGGCTTTAATTGCACCATGTAGTTGCTAACTAGCACTTACCCTGATCAAGGACTTTTCAGTCTCATGCTCTGCCAGTGAGGAGGGGCACAAGAAGCCGGGAGGAAGGAGAGACAGGACACCTGACCCAGAGTAGCCAAAGGGGTATTCCATACCACAGCACGTCATGCCCAGTATATAAACTGGAGGGAGCTGGTCAGAAGGGATTGATTGCTGCTTGGGTTGGGCTGGGTATCAGTCAGTGGGTGGTGAGCAATTGCATTGTGCATCACTTATGTTTATTTTTTTTTCTTTCCTTCCCCATTTAGTTTTATATTCTCTGTTTTATTTCTGTTATCATTATTATTATTAGTATGATAATGTACTTTAGTTATTAAACTGTTCTTACCTCAACCTGTGGGTTTTACATTCTTTCAATTCTCCATCCCATCCTGCCCAGTGGGGTGAGCAAGTGGCTGCATGGTACTTAGTTACCGACTGGGTTTAAGCCACGACAGTCTCCAATGCCTTGTTGGAATCCTCCTGCCTCTCTTGCAGTAAATCCTTCTTTAATTGGTTAGCTTCTTGCACAGAAGACCAGCTTGTGGTGACCATTGCTGTGTCAGGGATTGCAATGGATGGTTCCAGTCTTCAGCTGTGTTGGTTTGCATGCCCAGTGCCCTTCTTATTACACTGAGTGGGTGAATAAGATATGCAAACATGGATGTGGAAATGGAGATCCCCACATTATGGACAGAGTCATGTATAAGTCTCTGCAGTAGGTTATTTCCAGCTGAGATGCTCTCCTGCCTTTTTTAATCTTATCATGTGTCATGTTAGGAGTGTGACCACCAGGTCGAAGGAGGTGATCCTGCCCCTCTATTCTGCTCTCCTGAGACCTCACTTGGAGTATTGTGTACAGTTCTGGTGTCCTCAACATAAAAAGAACATGGAACTGTTGGAACAAGTCCAGAGGAGGGCCACAAGAATGATCAGGGGACTGGAGCACCTCCCATATGAAGATAAGCTGAGAAAGTTGGGACTTCAGCCTGGAGAAGGCTGCATGTAGACCTCATAGCAGCCTTCCAGTATCTGAAGGGGGCCTATAGGGATGCTGGAGAGGGACTCTTCATTAGGGACTGTATTGATAGGACAAGGGGTAATGGGTTAAAACTTAAACAGGGGAAGTTTAGACTGGATCTATGGAGGAAATTCTTTCCTGTTAGGGTGGTGAGGCACTGGAACGGGCTGTCCAGGGAGATTGCGAATGCTTCATCCCTGGCAGTGTTCAAGGCCAGGTTGGACAAGGCCTTGGGTAATATGGTTTAGAGTGAGGTGTCCCTGCCCATGGCAGGGGGGGTTGAACTCGATGATCTTAAGGTCCTTTCCAACCCTAACCATTCTATGATTCTGTGATTCTATAACCTGAGCTGTGGGAATTTTGGGTACAGCCTGTTCTTCATACAGGACAGAAAAGAAGAAGCTGAGGTATGTGTATGTGTGTCAATACTTACATACATGCCTACATGTGTATGAGTTCTTACTCCCAGACACAGTGTACAATCACAAACAAGCAAAACATATGTGAGGAGGTATAGTTTATTTTTCTGTAATCATTCTGCTCTGTTATCCAGTTATTTGTTACATTACCTTCCAATTTGCAGCTTGTTTCTCACAAATTTCTTCCATCTGTGAACAAATTAAAAATGCTCTAAACCTGAAGTAGAAGAACCTCAAGTACCTTTTGCATCCTGAGCTTTTAAAAACTATAGTGAATTGGTGTGACAGAACAAATAGTTCCCCTAGCATCTGTCACACTAAAAACCTAACAAAATTTAGATTTTTATGGTCCTTAGACATTATCCCTAGAACAGTTTCTTATTGGGCTGCTTGCCTAAAAAGCACTAAGAATCTGTGACTGGCTATATTGAGCACAGAAAGTGATTGGTCCCCATCAAAATAAAGAACAGCTGTTTCGAGGAATTATACAAAGTCTGGATACGAGCATGGTAATCCTCTGGAATACCCTTAGATCCTCCAGCAAGCTATGGTTTAGGGACTTCCTGGGCAGTAGGTTATATTTACAGCTTTGTGACTGATATGTCCCAATCAATTTTGGACAAGAATTTGTCTAATTCCTTTTGGATCTCTTTATACTCATCTGCAATATCTTGTGACAGTAAGTTTCACAGTTTAGATACATTGTATGGAAAACTGATTTTCTTTTCTCTTATAAAACATCTACTTGGAAGTTTTAGTCAATGCCCCAGAGTCCTTATGTTGTAAAGAAAAGACATAACTGGTCCCCGTTCCCTTTCCCTTTTACTATCTTGCTCCCTTATATTCCATTATGAAGTTTCTCTTTTCCAGCCAAGGATCCTAGCCTATTTAATCCCTACTGGCATTTTCATATCTTGTTGCCTTCATGTCCTGGATCTACTATATTCTTTCTGACTCACGGGGACCTGATAGGCATGTAGTAATCCACATATAGGTGAAAACTAAATTTCCACAGTCCCAGACTATGCTGTATGCTTTGTTCTTCATTCTTTTCTTAGCAGTGTGTAACAATACACTTTCATTTAGTACAGCATGCTCCATAATTTGGAAAATTTGACATCTCTGAAAGAATTCCCTCTCTGCAAATACTCATAAGAACTATCTGTATTCTAAACAGTGTTACATTTTCAATGGTGAGTGCTTTGGTCATACATCAGCCTATAAAACATGCCAAAAATATGGTGCTTGGTGGTGCTTCTGTGTTTCCAGGCCCAGGTATATACCTTCACTGAGTCCTAGATCTGTAGCAGAACTCATCTGATAGACACAGCTTCCATCTCCCTACCTCTGACAGGAAGGCAGCCTGGCCACAGAAGGTAGAAGAGCCTTGCACTGTGTCCCAGCCATGCTCTGAGAGAACCCCAAGTTCAGGCACAAACACCTCCCAGCAGCCCATCATTGCTTTGAGAAGGGTGGTAAGAATGTCATTTGTGCAGACTTCCAGATGGTGATTCATCACTCCTCTCCTTTCAGTTAGGCTACTTTTATACCCAGTTAAAGCAAGATGAGGATTGGAGCTTTGTATGCTGGCTCCAGATGACTTCAAAGGCACCAAATGAACTATTTTTTTTTGATGGTCTGTTGAATAAATGCCCTAATTAACAACAACAACAAAAAAAAAACACAAAGAAAATGGGATTACTTTTTCTCTCTGGATTGCTAGTTTTTAACAGGACACAGTCACTTGTGGCAAACAATAAGTGATGTTGCCTGTAAATTAGCTTTTTCATTAGCTTTTGCATCTTGCACTGAAATTTTGTGCCTATTTCACCTACCCAGAAAAATGACCCCAGAAATACCTATTGTCTTTGTATTATGACTTTTGTTTTCCATAGCTTTGCTCTGAACTGCCCTGTGGAAAGATTCATGGGTTTTGAGGACCTAATTCACTGAATTTCTATATTCCAACAATTCATAGTACTGAGATAGCCTTACACTGACTTCTATTATTTCTATTTCACAGATTCCTTGTGATTTTTGAAGTCAGGAGAATCTGTCCAAGACATTCTTCCTTTCAAAAGATAGCAGAAAACACTCTTTAACTTTGTTTTAAATCTATAGCAATGTAATTATTAGTAGTACCAACACTGACCTCAGCTCAGAGTCACATCACTGAAACCAGAAGTAGGTCTTTCCTAGAAGTTTTTCCCAGAGCACATAAAGATCCCTGGCTATAACAAAGGAGAAGAGATTCCTGCTCTCTGCTCATAGAGTGGTAGGTAAGTGGTGGAGCTTGGGGAAGCAAGCTTTTAAAATCTGTGTTAAGCTCAGACTTCACTCTTACACAGGATGATTGCTTTTTCCTGCTGTGAGGACCGGGCTGTATTAAAAAATGTCACGGCAGACAAACTTGTGCACATTCAGTTTTAAAGTGAGTGCTGGAAACTTGACTGAAAGTCTGTGTGCAAGATCATCACCAAGTGTAACTGAATCCCATTCCACCAAAGTGTCTTGTAAGAGATCTTCTCCCCACAAAAGCATATAGTAGGAATTCAGGATGTGGTAGCTCTCTAACACCTTCCTGCTTGCAAAGGAAAATAACAATACTTTAAACATTAGTGGAAAAAATGCTGTGTGAACAAATACATTTATTTCTCATGTTTCTCTTTGATTGGGGGTATCTGCAAAATTAGCTCATAGGGAACCTGCTTAACTCTACTTGGAAAAAGGTAAGTTAAACCTTTGACTTCTCCTGGGCTTAAGTAAGTGCCTTGCTAGGTAATCACAGTTTGTAAAGCAGGTGCTTAAAAAGCCCTTTCAAATGACAGAAGAAAGAGATGAATCACTTGAATTTCAAGTGCAGTTCCAACGACAGTTCGTGTCCCTGCGTAAAGTGCATAAAAAATGAAGAGGTAGGAGGTAAGTCCTTGGTTGAAGTCCAGGTCTTTCATCTTTCAGTGAAGCTGTTACATATGCAGGTTTCACTATGAAAAGGGACATTGGTGTGGCCACCTCTGAATCTGCAGGTGAGTTTTTGTAGGAAAAGTTTGCAGACTGAAAAATGGCATTTGGTGTGGAGCCTGCTGTTCTGGGAACATCTGAAAGTCCCTCTGGCGAAACAAGTGGAAAATGTCTTTTTGATTAATTTGGATTGGACTTATTTTTAGGATGGTATCTGCAGTCTCTAGTCCTTGGTGCGTCTGCTGCCCAAAGCAGAGGTGCTCAGCTTCCTGAAAGCTGGAATGTGCAAGGAATTTAGGTACAGCAAGTGACAAGGCTCACAGCTCATCATTCAGCTGCTTGGTTTTGTTGGCCACATGCCTGATGCTGCAGTCATGTGCGATTAATAACTGAACCTAGCTGTGGCATTTTATGCAATACACTGTAACTGTATTTAGAGTGAGGGATATTGAAAACATGTCCAGCTTAATTAGAAAGGAATGGAAAAGAGGAAAACCACCCTAGAGCTACCTCACGGGAGACAGCCCTGGCATACAGACAAGCGGGGGATCAAAGGCCTATTGCACAATGTAATGAGTAAATAGATAACAAGTACAGCATGAGCTCTGGTGGACCTTTAGAGGTAAAGGCAGGCAATACAAGGAACACCATGTGTATTTCAGATGACCTTTTGTTGAAAATGTCAGGAGATTGTCCTCAATTTATAAAGAGGGTAAAAAATAACTGGACTGAATAATGAAAGGTTTAATGCCGAGGGAAGGACTAGAGTGAAGATGCAAGGGGGCTGGACACCTGGAATTACACATACTTTAAAAACTCTGCTGAGTTCATAATGGCCAGTGAAGTGCTAGCACTGTTAGTGTGGTGAAAAAAAAAAACATCTAATGACAAGAATACAGCTAATAATGATGAAGGAAATCTGTGGTCTACTAATGGAGTCGATAGAGGAGAGGCCCCTCAGAGGCTGCCCTCAAACCTAATCCTAGGTCACCAGTGACTGTATCAGGTCCTCCCTACCCACACTCCAGCTCTTGAAGGGGGGATGACCTTGGGGCTCTGACAGCCATGCACTTTAGAAGTGATATAATAAGCCTTCTCCACAGAGAAATAAGGAGGTGTTTAACCATCTCCAAATTGATTTTGTTTTGTTTTGTTCTGTTTTGCAGTTTACCTTTCTATGATAGTTTTTGATCTTTCATCTTGACTGAGTAACTTCTGAACAGAGCTAATTAAGCAGATATTTAGAATTCAGCAGCATCTCCCTTCTGAGAGTCTCAAAGTATTTTGCAAACACTAATGAATGCAATCCCAAAAGATTGCTGCCAGATTGCTTGCAGAAGCATAGCATCACCCAGAGGGTGAAGGCAGAAAGCTAAAGATTAGCTATTTGCAAAACTAGAGTTCTGAAATACTGATTTCATCCCATTGTGGTTAATTAACACTTCACAGTCACTGCACAACCTGAAAAACTGGGCTTCAAGACATGAATAAGACATCCACAGTTTAACATAGGGTGATAGGATAGTTCCAAGGTTGGACTCTTCTTTTCTGGAGCCCAGACACTCTGAGAGCACAGGTGCAGTGTTGGTGAGATTGCTCCCTCAGGAGATAAATACAATTGAGTGTATTCCTTACTTCTCTCTAGTTTCTAGGCTGTGGCTGGAGGCCTCTGAGTGGCATCTTTGTAACAGGTCCAGAATCTCTTTGCAACATGAAAAACTCTGGAGCAGCAGGTATGATCGCTGCAATGAGCAGACCTTGAATACATAAAGAAACACATTTCTAAAGCATAGGTTAAGGATAGGGAGTGAGACACTGTGACTTAGAGAATGTGAAATTGTCTGGAGGCTTTTTCACTTTGCAGGTTAGAAAGTCCTCTTAATGCATCCTTAGTCCTCTGAAGGGCTTCCACTGCTTAGGACCATCCTCTGATAACGAAACAGATATAACCCATGTTCTTTATTAATTAACTGAAACAGTCACAGTTAATAGGATTTCAAGACTTAAAGGTGTCGTGTTCACTGCTACTGACTTGGTTGTTAGCAACAGACTTAGCTGATAGGTAAGCAAGATTTTATTAGACTGGCATTGCTTTTCTAATAAGCCAGGCCACAGGGGAAGCACACTTTAGAAGTTGTGCTTGATGGGTTTATGCATTTTCCTACAGATTTTAATCTGTAGGAAAGAAAGTACAGTTTTAATCTAACTGTACTGTCAATATAATATCTGCTTTCATTTAAATACTTCTCACAGAGGGAAACTTTGTAAGGCAGAGGCAGAATATTGCTAGTACAGATAGAGCAAAGTACCTCTAGATGACCAACATAATTCAACTTTACAAACTACTGATTCTTACACTTAATAATTTTGCCACTGGAATTCCTACCAGGTACTCTGATACAAGTGTTTACATCCACCTACTTTCAGTTTTGGTTTGTAGTGTGGGGCTCAGTAGTTCCAGAGAGAAGCATATAGCTGGACAGTAGCTTAAGGGCTTAGAAAGGAAGCTGGTAGTATAAAAACATGATTCGCTATGCAATTGCATTGGTAAATCCACCAGAAAAAAAAAAAAAAAAAGCAAAGACAGAAGCTTGTTTCAAATTGTCCCTGTTACTTTCAGAGGGAATTAGAAAATTCTCTATAACAAAAAAAGGAACTTAGAATACGAAATGCCATTTCTTGCTCTTTAGATGTGCAAGTACTTGGAAATTAGATGATGTATTAATTACACCCACAGTTTTAAACTCGTGTTTTGCTACAACTTGAGGTATTTATGAGACAGATAGAAACAATTTCTATTCTACAGAAATTATCTTTCTTGTATAGGGTAAGAATCACTTAAAGTTTTTTTCTACTTCTCTACTCAGGTGCTTTTGACTCCCAGTTTGCTGGGGGCATTAGGGCTATTGCTGGCTATCAGTCAGCGACCCTCTAGTGCTGTTTCTGCTGTTTATTCTGCAGATGAGGCAGTTTTTTGTTGCACTTGTAATGGTTTTCTTTCCAATTTTATTCCTTCACCAATCTACTACTCCAGTTTAGTAGTATTATGGGTCCACTGAGAACTTCTTTAAGTAACTACGTACTTCCATAGCAGCTAGTGATAAGCACTGCTTGTGCCTCCTGCAGCAACACATTTTCCTGCATTGCAGAGACAAACTAATTTAAAATTAATTCATCCTGTGGGAAAAAGAAGATCAGTGATGGATGAAAACAAGTAAAGCTTTTTAAAATAGCTTAGTTTTACTAAGGCTGCTGTCTTTGATTACTCACCCTATCTGTAGCCACCTGGTCTAATATCCCCTTAGTCTATCTGCAGTCAGATGGTTTGAGGGCATCTTTTTCACTTTGCAGGCTTTCCTTTGAAAAAATCTGTAGTTGACTGGCACTTGCTGTTCATTAACTTTATGGCAGCGTTCTTGATTTAGTCTCCAAATCAAGCAAATACGTAAGAACAGGCTGCTCATCACCAGTGCAAACAGTCTTTCTGAAATCTGCAGGACTGCATACTTGATGACTCTGGGGTAAGAGGGTGGTGCTACAGATCCTACAACTAGACTCAGTGCCCCTGCAGAACAAAAGAAAATATGGCACAAGGACTGCCTTGAAGCTCCCACTTAATCTAGCCACCTAAATATGGTGTCTTTGGGTTAAATGTAACAACCAGCTGCTGACAGCAGTGTCAGTGCCTGTGACGGTTCCCATTTGGTACCAGCTTGTGTAGAGATTCTTGAGAGATCTCTGCACTGTGGGTCAGTGCAAGTGGTAGATGTACTCTGAGTAAATTTCTTAGCTGGGTCATTTTCTCCATGTTCTGCACTTGACAAATGCAAGTGCCTAATGATATTAGATGACCCATTATGTCATTTATTTTTTGGAGGCCATTAATTTCTGTCCCTTCTTCATACAGTGTACACATTTCATTTTGGAGCTAGAAGGAAGCAAGGAAACACAAGTAAAAGGACTGTGTAGATACTATCAATGGAATACATTTTTCACTAGGCATGTAAAAATGTGACTTTTCATGTCTGGTGCCACTATTGTGTCCACATACTAAACTGAGGGGCTGTGAAAACAGCTGTGCATAGAACTTGCTGAAACTGAGTTGTTAATAGTGAGGAATTAATACATCAATTACCTTGATGCAGAAATCACAGAATGAGGTTTTTATGATCTTTATTATGAAAGTCAGACTGGTGGATTGTGTTAATCTAATCTGGTTTTACAATTCTGAATGAAGTTTGATAAAAAGCTAGCAAATGTTCAGGTCTCTTTCTCAAGGATGCTAATGAACAGTGAATACTCTTCTTCTTAAGGGGTAAACTAATATGGTCCAGAAGTTTGCTTACATTTATCACAGTATCACAGTATGTTAGAGATTGGAAGGGACCTCAAAAGATCATCTAGTCCAATCCCCCTGCCGGAGCAGGAACACCTAGATAAGGTTACACAGGAATGTCCAGGCGGGTTTTGAATGTCTCCAAAAAGGAGATCCACAACCTCCCTGGCAGCCTGTTCCAGTGTTCCGTCACCCTCACGAGAAAAGTTTCTTCTCAGTTTAAGTGGAACCTCTTGTGTCCAATTTGTACCCATTACCCCTTGTCCTTCATTGTTTGCCACTGAAAGAGCCTGGCCCTCCTCGTGACACTCCCCTTTATATATTTATATACACTAATAAGGTCACCCCTCAATCTCCTCTTCTCCAAACTATAGAGACACAGCTCCCTCAGTCTTTCCTCATAAGGGAGATGCTCCACTCCCTTAATCATCTTGGTTGCCCTGCGCTGGACTCTCTCCAGCAGGTCCCTGTCCTTCTTAAACTAAGGGGCCCAGAACTGGACACAATATTCCAGATGAGGTCTCACCAGGGCAGAGTAGAGGGGAAGGAGGACCTCTCTCGACCTACTAACCACCCCCTTCTAATACAACCCAGGATGCCATTGGCCTTCTTGGCCACAAGGGCACAGTGTCGGCTCATGGTCACCCTGTCGTCCACCAGGACCCCCAGGTCCCTCTCCCCTACACTGCTCTCTAACAGGTCGTTCCCCAGCCTATACTGGAACCTGGGGTTGTTCCTGCCCAGATGCAGGACTCTACACTTTCCCTTGTTATATTTCATCAAGTTATTCCCCGCCCAGCTCTCCAGCTGTCCAGGTCCCTCTGGATGGCAGCACAGCCTTCTGGCGTGTCGGCCACCCCTCCCAGCTTAGGTCATCAGCAAACTTGCTGATAGTACACTCAATTCCCTCATCTAAATCGTTATGAATATATTAAATAATACTGGTCCCAGTACCACCCTTGAGGCACTCCACTAGATACAGGCCTCCAACTAGACTCCGCCCCATAGACTACAACTCTCTGGCTTCTCTCCTTCAGCCAGTTCACAGTCCACCTCACTACCCGATCATCCAGAGCACACTTCCTCAATTTAGCTGCAAGGATGCTGTGGGAGACCGTGTCAAACGCTTTGCTGAAGTCAAGGTAGACCACATCCACCGCTCTACCATCATCCATCCACCGTGTTATTTCCTCATAAAAGGCTACGAGATTGGTCAAGCATGACTTCCCCTTGGTGAAGCCATGTTGACTGCCCCTCATAAATGTGGATGTTCTTGCTAGAAGCTTTCATGAGACCAGATTAAGACCAGAACATCAGAACTATACAGAATTTACCACAAAGATTGTATCAGAAATCACAGTGCAAGTGAACAGCCTGAACAGTGAAGTAGCTTTACACAGTTTTCCTTCAACTGGGAGACACTGACAGAATAAACGATTAAAAAAACCCAAACAAAAAAAACCAAACCAAAACAAAAAACAAAACAGAAAGAAGAATTAAGATCAAGGAATACTTTATGTTGAAATCAGTTTATCCAGATTTAACAGTGACTTGACACATTCAAGTCATCACAATTTCCTGGAATTTTTAATCTTATTTAAATCAACCATGATCAACCTTATTTAGTTTAGTGTCGATGCTGGTTACCGCATCTCTAATCATCCAGAGCTTTAGTTATTTCTGTAGTTTTGCTGCCTCCAAAATATTTAGCACAGGTAGTAATGAATTATGACATTTGGAGGAGGTAAAACACAAGGGAATAATAAAAATCACCTTAAAATCATGCTTTTGCTGTTACTTTTCAACTTTCACAAGTAAAAGGATGAGCTGTCATTTTAGACATCCATTCAACCACCGGTATAATAAACTGTGCAAATAAAACTGTGAAAGATAAATGATAGAGTAATTCCTTATTAGAACAAGAGAGCTTCTTCAGGATAAATTTAGTAGTAAGTAAAAGTGTTTAGCGAGGGGTTCTAGAGCAGTTCTGAAGTTTTCAAGTGTATGTTTAGCATTTAACTTGGTTTGAGCAGAAATTCCTGTTTAATACTAACATGCATGAGTCTGGATATCATTTTAGTAGCCCCATTGTCTAGCTGGTTAATTAGTATTTTCAAACAAATGTCTTGCTGGTTCCTGTCCAATGCAAGTTTCTATTTACTTTTTTTTTTTTTTCTTAGCAAGTCTTTTTAAAACTCATTTGAGTTCCCCCAGTACAGACTGTTTTGCCAGCTTCTTCATCTGCAGAGCAGGGATTGCAGGGCCATTAGGAGTTACCAACACCTTGACTTTTTTGTGCATTTTACACAGGAGGAAGCAGTGAGGGGTGGTGTGATAAAAAGACTTTGGCTAAGAAGCTGATTGACAAATGTATAAATAAGCACCATGGATCTTTATGCAGCAGGCAGGATGTTTGGAAAGAAGACACATGTTCCAGATATCCTCTGATGGTATGTTTTGTTCCTTCTAGGCAAGATGAAAGGCAGGGAGAACTTTAAAGGGCCTGAATAATTGCCAGTTATATGAATGGTATTAGGCTGAGCTTCATTTTACATACACCATTATACAACCTATAACTAAGCAACAAAATAAAAGCAGCTCATTACTGGGGAGTCTGAAGATATTCTTCCCTCATATGACTGTTTCTTACTATAGTATTAAAATATTCTGATTTAATTTTTTTTTTCCTCCTAATGGAATTAGGAATTAAAAAAGAATGAATGAAAATAACCATTATGTCTCAGCCTTTCTTCTCAAACTGAAAATGAGTGGAAATGCAGGGTGGGAATTTCCCAAAGATAGATAGTTTAATCTGTAGAGCATCATTAGAAAATAAAATATCTGAAACCACTCATCTGAATCCAGCAACAGATTTCCTATGAGGGCAATGGGCTTTTAAAATAGATGGAGAGCTGAAGAGGCAGACTATTTGAATAATGCTGAGGAATAGTTCACTTTGTGTATTATTCTACTTATTTCAGTTCAACAAGTTGTGGGTCAACTGTATATGAGTCAGGATTTCAGCCTGGCCATAGGGGGTTAAAAGTACCTGTACAACTGCAAGAAGGCAAAGGAAAAAACTGTCACTGAGTTTTCTGTCTTGCTTCAATCATCTAATATTTGTGCATTCCCCTCATGTGACGGAGAGGGAAAATGAGAAGCATTGCCTTTTTTCTTAGCGTGAGACACTGTGAAAAGTAATTTTGCCCAGTTATGACCAAGCAACTAGCTCAAGAGGACTGAGCTGAACATTTCATCCCATCATTCCCCTTTAGCCATCCAATGCCACCATGCTAATGGGCCTGGGAATTGGGATCAGAATTAGGACTGTAAAAAAGTTATTTTAGTAGACATTAAAACTGCAATCCTCACCCTCCTGCTTTATGTAATATAAACATAGAATCATTCATACAGGTACCATCACCATATATGAGCCAATGCAGTGATAACAATAATTGGGTCTTCAAGTTTTAATAAATTTCAAATAGTAGTTGAAGAGCATGGCTGGAGGAGAAAATACGAACTTTGCTGCTGTGTTGGCCAGACTCTTGTGTTACAGCTTGTAGGGCAGGCTCACAATCCAATATAAACGATGATATTGTTTTATACAGGCTTGCTTAGCAGCTGTTCTCTAAGTTGCGTGTTTTTGTCTGTGGTGTTTCCTTCTTGCTTTGGAAAGTAATTTTTCAGGATTTACCAACCTCATAATTTTTCCCTAACATGTAAATAGCAGACAATTTAGCGCACTGGAATTGTATGCAAAAAGGTAACCCCAGCATTTTATTAGGAAGTAGCTGTATTGGTTTGAGGGGAAGTGTTAATTGCATGGTCTGACTGAGAAATAACAACTGAAGTGTAGGATTAAGGCATCTGGGGTTTAACAGTTTGTGAACGTAGTCACAGTGTACAAAAAGGTATTGCCCAGGGTTATGCAAGGCCACTGCAGGCACCGCTGCTTGTCAAAGCGACAGCTTCAGACAGACTCCCAGGACACAAGACCTCCTGCTAAAAAAGGGTGGCCCCAGGGGCTGTAGTGACAAGATGTTTCTGATCATAGAACTGGAGCCTGACATCTCTCTCTTTTCTTCAGGGTCAGTAAACTGACCTTGCTTTTCTCACCCTCAGAAAGGAAATGGCACGCTCTGCCCTCCTGAATGAATAAATGTCCACAGGAGGGCAAACGCAATTTATGCGAATTTTAAAGTTCTGAAATTTGTCATGCTTTTAACCCATTTTCATGAAATGTGACTGTGTCAAGGTTTTCTA